TTTCCATTGCAATTACGAGGGCAGTTTGATAAGTCAGTGACTTTTTGAATTTTCCGCGCAGTAACTTTAAATGCAGCACTCCCGTCAACTGCCATCTATTAATAGACTACTGTACAAGTTTGGGCAAGCTGCGCCATTTAGTTAGTGTTTGACAGCCATTGAAAGCAGACAACCTCGTGAATTTTAACGAAAATGGAAAAAAGTGAATTTCGTGTGCTGATTAAGCATTATTTTTTGCGTAAAAAAACCATCACCGAAACCAAGGCAAAGCTTGATAAATACTATGGGGACTCTGCACCACCAATTTCAATGGTTAAGAAGTGGTTTACTGAGTTCCGTTGTGGTCGTACCAGCACAAGTGACGCCGAACGTTCAGGTCGCCCAAAAGAGGTCGTCACGCCAGAAATCGTCGATAAAATCCATGGAATGATATTGGACGATCGGAGAATGAAAGTGCGTGAAGTGGCTGAGGCTGTAGGCATCTCAACTGAGCGGGTATATCACATTTTACATGAATATTTGGACATGAAAAAGCTATCCGCGCGATGGGTGCCGCGATTGCTCACACTCGAGCATAAGCGCAACCGTGTGACCATTTCAAAGGAGTGTTTGGCGATGTTCAGCCGCAATCCGAACGAGTTTTTGCGCCGTTTCGTTACCGTAGACGAAACATGGATCCATCACACCACACCAGAGACCAAGGAACAATCAAGACAGTGGGTTTCTTCGGGTGCACGTGCACCAAAGAAGGCCAAGGTGGGTCTGTCGGCCAACAAGGTCATGGCCACAGTTTTTTGGGATGCACGCGGTATCATTCACATCGATTATCTTGAAAAGGGTAAAACGATCACCGGCGAATATTATTCAGAGCTTTTGGACAGATTCGATATTGATTTGAAGCAAAAACGACCGCATTTGGCGAAGAAAAAAGTGCTGTTCCATCAGAACAATGCACGGGTGCACACGTGTGTAGTCACCATGGCAAAAATCCATAAATTGGGCTATGAACTGCTACCCTATGCAGCATATTCACCAGATTTAACCCCCTGCGACTATTTCCTGTTTCCAAACCTGAAGAAATGGCTGGGCGGTAAGAGATTTGGGTCGAATGAAGAGGTTATCACTGAAACAAACGCCTATTTTGAGGGCCTTGAGAAAACCTATTATTTGGAAGGAATAAAAAAATTGAAAAAACGGTGGACTAAATGTATCGAGCTAAAAGGAGACTATGTTGAGAAATAAAACGCTTATTTGCCGAAAAAAATATCTTTTATTAAAAAAGTCACTGACTTATCAAACTACCCTCGTATTATATAAAAATTTTTTCATACGCTATATATTTTATAGATAAGATTTACGGTCTTTTTGCAAATTAAATCATTAATAATATATTTAGCAAACACTAATATATTTAAGAAACGCAGTTTTATTATTTATTAATGTTTTCTGTTTCATTTTTATGCTTACAGAATAAAAAAAACCATACAGCAGGGATCGAACTTCACCCGTCACCTCGGTAGTCCGTTACCTTCGCTGCTGCGCTACGCCGCTTCGTTGAATACCCTTCTTACTAACTCGTACACTTTGTTGACTCTTTTCTTCAGACCGTTTTTTCTCGAAAACGAAGAGGTATTGCGTCGTATGCTATTACCATGAGTTATTAGTAGTTAAGTAATATTAACTCCGTAAGTTTCGTTCAAAACCGTTTCCCGGTCGATGTGTCCCCCCCCTTGTCAGTGTTCTAATAAATAATGATAAATTTTGTAAAAATTTATGTTATTGACATCTTTTGTAATTAGCTTTTTTTTAATTTTCTTGAATAATAATAACCTTTAAAAAGATATCTTTTTAAAATATTGGACACTATTAATAAACGTGTTAAATTTTTATAACACGATATAATTTTTACTTGTAAAAACTTATGTTATGTACATTATAATAACAAGTAAAATAATCATATAACTCAGTGTTCTAATAAATATCATTTTTACTTGTAAAACTTATGTTACGTACATAATTAATATATATCTTAAAAAAAGGAAATAATTTGAATTTGAGATTTCTAAAAATATTAAGTATATGATTTCTCAGTTGGCGTTACTGTTTTAATATATCACTTCTTTTGTATAAGTTTTACTTGTAAAAACTTATGTTATGTACACATATATACTTAAAAAAGATAATTTGAATTTGTAATAACAACCTTTAAAAAGATATCTTTTTTAAATATTGAACACTATTAATAAACGTGTTAAAATTTTATAACACGATATCATTTTTACTTGTAAAAAGTTATGTTAAGTACATTATAATAACAAATAAAACAATCATATAACTCAGTGTCATAATAAATAATGATAAATTAAATATTGGACACTACTAATAAACGTGTTAAATTTTAATAACATGATATCATTTTTACTTGTAAAAACTTATGTTATGTACATAATATATATCTTAAAAAAAGGATAAATTTTTCATGTAATCATTTTTATTTGTAAAAAGTTATGTTAAGTACATTATAATAATCATTTTTACTTGTAAAAACTTATGTTGTGTACATAATATCATCTTAAAAAATGATATATATCTTAAAAAAAGGAAATAATTTGAATTTGAGATTTCTAAAAATATTAAGTATACGATTTCTCAGTTGGCGCTACTGTTTTAATATATCACTTTTTTTGTATAAGTTTTACTTTTAAAAACTTATGTTATGTACACATATATACCTAAAAAAAATAATTTGAATTTGAAATTTCTAAAAATAGCACAATACGTGTTGCGCTTGTACTTGGCGCCTTTTTTTACCTTTTTATTTAAAAAGGTTATTATAGTAATATCATAAAAACTAAGCATTTTAGAAACAAATATTTCAAATAAAAATTGTAAGGTTTCAAAAGATCTATTTACTGACATTATAAGTTTGACCCTGGATCGTGTCGCCAAGGTCTGGACAAGATCAAGACAAGGACAAGGACCTTAAATTTTTTAAATAGGTCTCCCTATTTTTTATTGCATATTCTTGTAGCTCTTCTTCAGAACTTTTCAAAGCATTATAACTTTTTCTACTTTGAGTAAGCCGTTTCGAAGTTATCGAGCTTTTTATGATGTCTAGCCAACCAAGGCAAGATCAAAGAAGTACCCAGCCAGCCAAGGCAAGATCAAACAAGTATTCAGCCAGCTAAGGCAAAATTATCATAAAGGAAAACTAACAATTGAAAGCGCGATTAATGTATCAAATGCTCAAATTGTTCACCATTCATTGTTTGACAATGCGCTAATCGATGATAAAAACCTGAAACAGCATCTTCTTACAAAAGCGTTTGAAAATAATGTTAATCCCTAAAAGAAAAAGTAAAGTCTAACAAATAAGCTAGGAAACAAAAAGGTTCATCCAATAAACAGAAATTTGTATTAATTAGATAACAAAATCGATAATTCAATTAAAGAAAAAAAAATCATTAATAATTTCTGTGTGAAATAATGCGTATCACGTACAAGTAATATGTTCTACTTCAAGTCAAATTCAGTGCAATTGATTTGAAATGATTCGAAGGTAAATTTTAGTGCTGTTATAAATTTAGTACTTAGTATTACTTTAATATTACATGTATCTGAAATACAAATCACGAAATTGTTCCAACCTCTAACTGGACATATTATCATAAAAAACTCGATAACTTCGAAAGGGCTCACTCAAAGTGGAAAGTTATAGTTAAGTGGAGTTATGGTACTTTGAAAAAGTCTGAATAAGGGCTACAAGAATGTGCAATAAAAAATTGGAAGTCCTATTTAAAAAATTCAAGGTGACCTTATCCTGATCTTAGCGACGCCACTCAAGGTCTAACTCATAATGTCAGTAAATAGATCCTTTGAAAACCTACAATTTTTATTTGAAACATTTTTTTCTAAAATGCTTAATTTTTGTTATATTTCACCGTCCCGATACTTCTTATACACAATATTAGGTGTACAAATTAATTCGATGCTTTATTTCATGAAATTTAAAATTTATTTATAAAAAGTACACGTTTCATATTTAAAATAATCTATATTATTTTCGATGACTTTATTCAATCTTTTGGGCTGACGAATGCTCTCGCAAAAGAAACTTGGCGGTTTTTATTCGATAAAGTCATCGATGCTTTTTCGGACTTTGTCAACTGTTTTAAAGTGCTTATCAATTAGATGATGTTGAAGCATACAAAATAGATGGTAATCCGACAAGGTGAGATCTGGTGAATAGGTCGTGTGAGGAAAAACTTTCTAGCCCAATGTATAGATGACGTCTTTAGTCCTTTTCGCGATATATGTTCGAGTGTTACCATGCTACAAAATCACCCACATAGCACGAATGACTGTTTACCGGCTGATAGTCGACTATTTTTAGTCAACTTGAAGTCGACTTTTAAAGTCGACGTTTAGCCGACTATTTCCAGGATGATTTTTGTCGACTTTAACTATTGACTGTAAGTCGACTTAAAGTCGACTATTTTGAGACGATTAAAAATCGGTTTTCAGTAAAGCAAAAAGTCGATTAAAAGATATCTTTTCTTAAAATATATAAATTAAACCATTACTCAATGAGAAATTACTTGTCAATAGAAGTCAATTTGATATCGTTTCGACGTCGATGGACGAGTCATTACATATGTGTTTAGCGAATACAACAGTTGCACAACTGTTGAGTGTTTTATTGACGTAATTGATCTAAATTTAACAGCAAAGACCAATAATAACTGACTGCTCACTGATTTTTTCGCTGAATGTAGCCATTGAATATTTAAGATATACAGGATGCTAATGAACGCTATTTAACGCTACCGCGCTACCTTAAATAGCGCATAAAGAGCTTCCCAAACACACTCTCAGGCTGCGTTCTGTTTCACGCATATGCGCGTATTTATCTATAGTTCATGTTACGTATACTGTAGGAAATACGCGCATATGCGTGAAACGAAACGCGGCCTCACTGATTATAGTGTAGTACTAAGTGTAGCCATTGTGGTTTAGGAACACTATTGGTTTTCACCTCGCTCACCACTGCTCACCACCTCATCGTTTTAATCAGAGGTAATCCTTTTTATTTTCTTAATTATATTGTGCCAAATAAAGTTTAACAATATTGTTATATATATTTCTAATAATATGCTTTATATATATGTGTAATAATCGTTATAATTTGTAGCAGAAGTGTAAGCAATTTTCCAGGCAAAAGTATAAAATGTTTTTCATATTTCATGTTTTGATTCATTTATTAGCATCAATTATCGGCACGTGAGTGCTTTCGCCATGTTTTTACTATCGCTCGTAAACGAATAAACGCGTCGCGCGTTATGTAAGACATATGTACGATTTAATCTTGTGCGTTCTAACCTCTAAGTGTGTTAATGTCATTAGCGAGCAAAGTCATTAGTATGACTTTTCTTTCATGTTCTTAGTGTTTTCACGTGAAAAATAGCATGAAAATTTTATAACTGCCTAGGCTGCTACATAAGCCTTGTTCGATTTTATTCATAACTGAATTTTTAACTTGGTCGTATAGTAATACTTGTCACTTGGCATATTCTATTTTCGACGTTTCCATAAGACAAACATATTACAATTTCGTTTCTCTCGAGTATATGAAACTTAGAAACCGATTGTAGCTTTGTGAAAATATTGACTTAGCTTTTTCATCACAATACATGGTCACCGCTGACACAGCGATTACATATACTGTTATTGTGTTTTCAAAGGAGACTACTTTACATATTGTGGACACTCTTTCGAGCTAGTATTTTACTTATCCTATTTATTTGCAAGCAAAAAATTGGTAAGAAATTAAAATATATAATATTTTCCATATAACATGCAAAATATACTTGCAGGGAGTCAGGGAATCTTTTTCTCATCAGTCATCTGTGCTTCGTATTTGGTAGTCGTAGTATTGTTTCAGCTAAGTTGAGTTTTATGCAGAATAACTGAATATAACGAATTTTTCCCAATAAGTAAAGTATCTCACATATTTACCTGTGTATATGTCATTTTAATATAAAGACAACACAAGATATAGTCTTTCCTGTTTAGTGCATAGAGTTCTTGTAGCAAGTTGTATTCTATTAGTATGGTTTACTTAGTTTGCTTGTCCTGGACTGGAAAATAATGAGCATATGCTCTTTTTTGCAACAATCCTGCCATTTTTTGACTAGTAAACATGTTTATTAATTGATTTAATAGTTTCTTTGTTCCCTTATTATTCAGTGTTTGTTCAGTAAGTGAATTCAGATTTTGTATAATTTTTTTTCAGATTTTATGCCTTTTGATAACTGCAGAGATATTCGTCATTAAGATCCCAGCACTTTTACTAGGCAGAAGGTAATACAACTGCACAATATTTGTATTTAGAAATAAGTAGGCATTGTGCATAATGCTTGCATTATTGACAATGCGTTTAGGCAAGACACCGCTACTGAAGCGCTACAGTAGCGCTTTTGTTGATTGGAGCATTCTTTTAGATTCTTCATAGATCCAGAAGTATTTAACCAATCAGGAGCGAAAAAGCTGTAGCGCTACTGTAGCGCTTCAGTAGCGATGTCTTGCCTAAACGCTTATTATTTATAACGCTAATTGCTTCTAACATATATATACAGGTTGAACGATAATGAGTGAACCAGCCTTTTACATTATCGGTAGATTACTGACATCTGTTCGAAAAATGATAAATCGCTTTGCAAATGATTGTATATGTATTCTGCATGCGTAAAATTACAATAAAAGTAATTCTAATACCGTTCAATAATTTGTTCCTGTAGAGTAAAAAGCTGGTTCATCCATTATCGTTCACCATATATATATATATATATATATATACGAGGGTGGTCCGATAAGTACTTAGCCTACAAAAGAAAAACGAAAATTTTGGAAAAGTGGCGATTTATTTCTCAACATAGTCTCCTTTTAGCTCGATACACTTGACCTAGCGATGCTCCAACTTCTTTAACCCATCTGAAAAATACGTTTTCTCGAGGTCTGCAAAGTAGGCCTCCGTGGCGGCGATGACCTCCTCATTCGACTCAAATTTCTGCCCGGCGAGTGACTTTTTCAAGTTTGGAAACAAAAAGAAGTCACACGGGGCCAAATCTGGAGAATACGGTGGATGGGGCAGCAGTTCGTAGCCCAATTCGACCAATTTGACCGTGGCGAGGGCGGAGGTGTGAGCCGGTGCGTTGTCATGGTGGAAGAGCACTTTCTTCTTCGCCAAATGGGGCCGTTTTTTCTGCAATTCGGCGTCGAATCGGCCCAATAATTCGGCATAGTACAGCCCTGTGACCGTTTTGCCTTTCTCCAGGTAGTCGATGTAGATCACACCTTGTGAATCCCAGAAAACGGTGGCCATCACCTTTCCGGCCGAAAGGACAGTCTTCGCCTTCTTCGGAGCATCGCGCCGACAGCTTTCTCATGCCCAAAATTTCATGCAGGATATGACCCACGCGGTCTTTTGAGATGCCTACTGTCTCAGCTATCTCGCGCACCTTCAATCGGCGGTCTGTCAATACGAGATCGTGGATTTTTGTCATGTTGTCCTCCGTGGTAGCCGTTTTCGGGGCGTAGCTCATCAAAAACCGACGTGCGACCACGTTGAAACTCGTTAAACCAATTTTTGACGGTCGCCATCGAAGGAGAAGAGTCACCGTACACAGCATCCAAGCGCTCTTTGATTTCGCTGCGCGATTTCCTTTCCAAAAACAAGAATCGAATCACCGACCGATATTGCTCTTTTTCCATTTTTTTTAAGTCCGCGGACATGCCCACTTCCACACGCGGTCAAAACAAAACTACGAGTCCGATTCGGCTGAAATTTCGACAGTAGCCGTCTACGAGAATGTACTACACGATAGTAAATTTCTCTTGCGATAGTGGCGCCATCGGGCGGTGAGGCTAAATACTTATCGGACCGCCCTCGTATATATATATATATATATATATATATATATGCTTATATATATATATATATAAATGCAGTCTTTTACATTCTATATATATATATATATTGGAGCACAAATAAGCGATAACCACTTATTTTTTATTGCAGTTGAACTAGAACAAAATATTTTTATGTGAAAAATCCTAGTAAATTGAATTTTCAGAGGATTTTTTTGAAAAATATTTATATATATGCACTGTATAATTATGTTTATAGCCGTTGTTTTAAAGATTCACAAAAGCACATCGATCAGCGAAATTGAAGCTTTCATTCAAGAATGGCTACGACGAGCGAGAGACAGAATAAGAGCCCTACTAAAAAAATAAATGGGAATATATTAAGCAATTTAATGTAAAAGATGGAGTTATTTTATTTTTTGTTCACAAAACTCTAATTTTTTTTAATTTACAATTATAACGTATGCATTTATTTTTATCAGATGTTAATTACATGTGTATACGAATACAAAGACACATATTAATATATTTTTATATAAAATATAATATATATATATATATAACATATGAAATGTATATATATATAAAATGTTTAATAAATAAAATTAATAAAAAGAATTATTTTATATTAATACATATTGTTGTTTATTTTATAATTATATATTTGTTATAATTATTTAAATTCCATTTGATATTTTCAAATACTTGGTCAATATAATTTTACTATTCTTTAATTGTATTATATATAACAATATTATACAATTAAAGTATAATAATATTATATCGATAACATTTTTGAGGAATGTCACTATTAAAATAAAAATTTAATAGTTAATGTAAATAAAGTTAAACTGACTATAAATCGACTTATATTCGGCGTAACATTGACTGAAGGCTGACTTAAAGTTGTCATAAAGTCGACTTCTAAGTCGACTTAATAGGTGACTGACGGTCGACTCGATAGTCGAGTCATTTGTCGGCTGTTAGTCGACTTTAAGTTGCCATTCAGTCTGACTTTGAAGTCGACTTTTGACTTTTTCTGCCGACTTGCAGTCGGCTAATAGTCGACTCGGTGCTGTTTGGGCACGTACTTCTGTTGTCAGTATAAGGTCTCTTTTGCTCCAACGCATCGCTCAAACGGATAAGTTGTTGTTAATAGTACTTCGCAGTAATAATGTGGCCAAAATCCAATAACTCGTAATGCATTATACCCTTTATATCCTAGATACTCAGCAACATTTTCTGCGTGGATATTGGGCTTCGGAATCGATGTCGACAGTTGGTCAGGATTTACCTACGATTTTTTGGATTTAGGGTTGTGATACTCATAAATAATACTTATTTTTTATTACTCGTAATGATTCTGTATAGAAAATTTTTTCTTTTAAATCAGGTCAACAAAGACATTCCTTTGTCGAATTTTAACTCCTTGTTTTCCACGCTCAAGTTGTGCGGAATTAATTTATCTTTCTTCTAAATTTTACCGAGTTCGTGTAGATGATGAAATATGCATTTTTTAGTAATTCCGAGTTGAAATGCAAGCTGCTGTTGAGTTTGGACGGAGTCAACAGTTGCTCGAATTTCTCGTTGCCGAATTTTTATGGTTGACTCGGACGTTGTCTATTCCATTTCTATTCCGAAACCTCTGATACCACTTTTTACACGTTTTATGTGTTATAATCTTCATCCAGAATGGCACAAGTTATCTCTATAGTTTAAGTAGCATTTTTTTTAATTGAAATGCGAGAAGAATGCCTCAAATATTGCTTATTGATTGCCATCGTGTTCATCGCTGTTTTGTGAGATTATCGCCTGCTTCGCCAAAACATATAGTGTTTTGAGAACTTAGTGATACATATTTATAAACTGCAAAACAGCGGGGAACTATTCAGTTTTAAAACGGAGTTATAAAGTACGAAATATAAAGGCACCGAATTAATTTGTACCTAATATTCATTATAGAAAATAATAATGACAATTTCCTCAACTTTCTTGATATTTTTATAATTGTGAAAGACTTTTTGTAATATGATAGGTATTGTTACGTCCTGGAGGAGGAGCACAACTTATCCATTTACAGAAAAGGCGAACCTCGTTCTTATATGCCAGGAAACGGGTCAGCAACCCGACGGGTTCCTTTACTCGCTCGCTGACGTACGACGAGCGGACGGTTTTTCGGTCAAGGAAATGAATCCCTTTACCGGGGATAAGACCATGAGCTGATTGTTGAAAAGTGGGCTAGAGACGTGATTTCGAAATTAATTACGGAAAATGAATTATTAACAAAGTTTATTAAAATTAGGGTAACAAACAGAACGAAAATAAGAGTACAGAGATTTACAACGGCGCAATTTACAAGGGCACGATTTACAAGGACACGAGTTAAGGGGGGAACCTGGTTTAAGAGGCTAAAAAAGGAGATATTTATGAATATTTTTTATTGACAATGATGCAGTTGAGGTTCCTAAAACTTTTATAATATTTAACTGCCTATTTGAAGAAGTAAAAAAAAATTTTTATATTGTAAAATAATTGCAAAATGGCGCCATGGTGTATCTCTAATCAAAGCGCCTCGCCAACCGAGTTACCAATCTGCGGAAAAAATATAGCCTGCAATTTTGATCTGAAATAAAAAACCAAAAAGATTATTAATTTTCATATATTTTTATTCTATGTGAACCAACAACATGGTTAAGAAACCGTAAAATACAAAACTTTTTAGCACTTGAACAAAAAAATGACATTTTTGAGAAAAAATTTCCTCCGTTTTTATGCAATAACAATTATTTAGATTAATGTTTTTACCAATGTTTGAGGTTCACATAGAATGGTTGTTCATTCTCTAGCTAACGCACTTTGAATCAAGTCGATTGATCAATTAGTTTTTCTCTATCTTTCCCGCAGATTTTAAGAAAGTACGAAAATGATATTTCGAGAAAAACGCGTTTAAGGTTTGTGGTACAAAAAGATATCATTTATTGGAGACTTACCACAATCTTATGCTAATCAGCTATACCAGGGCCATACTGCAAGCCTTCAGCTTCTTCATAAAACTCGTTTCGTTGCATTTGCTCCAGTCTACGAGCTGTGCGAGCTTCCTTGGTCGTGCTGCTTCGGTGCCGCTCCTCTCTCGTAACTCGCTGCGCATCGTAATTATCAGCGAACATTTTGCATTGCTGGCCGATATTGATTTCTAATAACTGCATTGTTAATAAAATGGCAGTGTAGCCTTCATTAAAGATGCCAGTAGCCAAATAAGCAGCGATTTGAACAATTTTAAAGCCCGAATTGAGGTGTTTGGGAGCGATATGCCACACAGTCGAATTGAAGGATTCGTTGGAATTTTGTATATGCCCGCCTAAACATCTAGTCAAAAGATCTTCATTGGAAAGATCTTCATAGATCGAAGTAAGGTGTTTCTCAATATCAAGCTTTATAACTGGTGCAGGATGTTTACGAGTTGACCGGCGGCTTCAGCTTTGCGCCACTCGCACCAACTGTCGGCGCCTGCGGGGCAATTTCCATGTTTCGGCTTTTCATCGGTCGAGCAATAGTGGTAGAGTGTTGCCATTATGCTTTTTTCATATCACCCACAGAATCTACATTTAGTCTTATGGCTAAACCGTAGTAAGTGGTTAATTTTTTTATGACGAGATCGGTCAATCTCCCCTTGCCGCCAAGCTTCTCCTTTTTTTTATATTTCGAAGCCGCGTCTCCATCCGCTTCTGAACGTGTCCGACGCACTCACTTTTTTTACGGGGCAATCTTCGCCATACGGATTCAAAGTTAAAATGGACTTATAAGTTTTTCTCTTTCTATGATTCTATAATAATGTAATGGATTCACAATAATATTATCAGTACCCGCTGTACTTAATTTTTTCGCATTGATGCTCTCGTCTAAATTATCACTTTCATTCTTGGAATGCTGGTTGCTACGAAATCTTCTTTTCGGCAGGTTCGAAATGCACTGCGAAGTACTTCTTGAGCCTTTTGGATACATATTTAAAACTGTCAAACGACTTTTGCTAGATAGAAACTCTTTACTCGTCGAGAATCAGAGCAAGACTGATCGTTGAAACTATAAAATATACACACGTACACATACATAGACACAAATATTCTCATACATCTACGTGACAATCTATAGGAATGTGTAATCAAATATCGTGCCGGCATATAGCACGTATCTGTATCGGGTGAGCGCGCGGCCCACTCCGGCCGAGCGCTCGTATACTTGCGCGACGCTGACTCACCATGTATTCTATAACTTTTAAAATACTTTGAATTGGGCTCTGAAACTTTGGGAATATATTCTTGAATAGTTTAACTATCGATTAAGTAAAAAAAAAAAATTCGAAAATCTTGACCCTATAAACCAGGTTCCACCCTTAACCTTACACCGAATAACGATATTTGTATGTGCGTATTGTATGTGTGTATGTGTGAGTGTGTGCGCGCGCGCGTGTGTGTGTGTGTATGTATGTGAAGGAAATACTCGGAAGAGAAAAAAGGGAAAAACGAATATAGAGTCGGGTGAGGAGGAACGAGAGCAATCTAGTGAATTAAGGGGAATGGATAGTTGAGAGAGAGAGAGAGAGAGAGAGAGAGAGAGAGAGAGAGAGAGAGAAAGAGAGAGAAGAATTGGATAATGAAAGAGTGGACGAACGTGTGGGAGAGGATGGAGGAATACCAGGGAGAAGAATCAAAGGATGCGGGAGGATATATAGAGAGGTATAAATGGGAGTGACGGATCTGGGTGGTAATTAGTTCTTAAAGCAATATTAATTATTGCTTGGAGATACTGAGCAGAAGGTTGTAAATCGTCGGGATGTCTCGTTTCGAAAATTGACTCGACTATGTGAAGGGTTCGGTGAATAGTAATCATAGAATGATAATAGTAGCCCACTGAAACCGGATTACAATAAACGGGTTCTATCAATGAAATAGGAATATAAGTAAGAGAATAAAGAATAAAACTTACTGCTGGTTCCAAGGTGTCTGATACAAAGAAAAAGGTGCTGCTGGTTTGCGTGGGTAGACAACTCTTGCTCTGTGCCAAGAAGTGAGTTGGATTTTTCTGAGTAGCTCATGGTTGTCCAATTTTGCACAAGTTATGTTATATAGAACAGTCGTTTAGCAATGCTATAGAAACAAAAGATAATCTACGGAAAATCTGCTGAGGAAGATTTGTTGAGCAAAAATTGCGGAAGATCTGCGGGAAAACTGCCGAGGAAGAACTAACTGAAGATCTGCGTCCGGAGGCGAATTGTCACAATTCTTATACAGATGATCGGAGGCAGGAGGCATCAAGATGGACCTATCAAAGAAAGAGATGGGCCTTGGAGACAGGGTGGAACCCTGAGGAAAGCCCAGTGGTGTCGAAGATCTGATTAGAATTTATAATTATTGATGATTTTAATTCCTGATCGACTTTAGTGGGAAAAAGTCTTAACCATTAAAAATTAAAAGTGAGGTTAAGAAAATCTGGTGGGAGGAGTTGGTTAATTCTT